TGACGGTCTAATTCATGCTCTCTGGGCCTTCAAGCCGTTTGCCGTGTGATGTTACAGTTCCTACCACAAACAAGAGCACCTTCCCCTTACACTTTGAATCTGAGCTTTGACTAACTTAATGCAATACAAGTGACAGTGTACCCGCTCCAAAATAGGACTCGGGAGGCCTTGGACACCCCTCTTCTTTTCTTCTTAGCTCTGGAGACAAATCTGAGGTAGCCCACTGGAAGACTCTCCACGTACGAGAGACACCAGTGTTCCAGCATCACCTGTGAGAGCCCTGCCAAGGTCAACAGAGCTTCACACGTAACCCACAGCTGACTAAAGCCAGCTGGGATGAGGCAAATGGCTGATTGGCCAATTCTTTTAAGGTCAGAGTGGCAGAACTTAGTAATGAAGTCATCTTCTGGTTCCTACATCAAGAGAAAATCTATCTTTATAAGAACTAGAAATTTCTTCGTTTGTCCTCTCAAGAAGCATCTGGGTGGTGTGAGTGTGTGTGTGTGTGTGTGTGTGTGTGTGTGTGTGTGTGTGTGTGTGTGTTTAGTGTATGGAGTGGGTGAGACAGCTCTCTCTATGTCCTCCTGATATCCTGGGATTCACTGTAGATCAGGCTGACCTCAAACTCATAGGGATCCATTTTCCTCTGCCTCCCAAGTGCTGGGATTAAAGCTGTGTGCCACCATGCCTGGCATCAAGAAGCATTTGCACCATGGGTGCATACATGCGTTCTCTTGTTAGTTAAGATGGGGGCTTTCCTCATCATCTTGCCTGCTGAACTCAGAGCACCGAGCAGCCCATCTGCTCTGTTTCTCACTGTCTGACATCTTAACTACTGAGCTGAGTTAACCTGGCCGCCCTGGCCTCTTTCTTCAATCTGCCATGCCAAACACAAAGGCCGCATCAACAACATCTTCATGATACTTTTCAAATATATTCACAACAGGTAATTTTGCCCAACTCAAGTGCAAATAATGAACAGATTTTGCCTACTAATCCAAAGCCAGAAGCCCTTAGCTCAAGAATTGTGGAGCTATATTCTAACTATGAGCAAAGACCTTGCAATTCTTTACTGAAACACACTGTGGGTTTCCTTAGGGAATCTTGGGGATTAACTGTAGGTTAAGTAAACATACCACAAAGAGATCTTTGTTCCTTCATATTTTATGCACCAGTATTCTTTGTCGTTTGTTGGATGTCATGAAGGTACTGAGACAGGGCTATGACACCGGCTGCAAGATAGTGTCTCCTAGACATGACAGGAAAGCCTTACCAATGAAACTGCACCAATGTACACTCGTGTAAACAACACGCACACAATGAGAACACAAGCTGGTATGCCAGGGTGGATGGAGGAAATTTCACAAGGCCTCATCCCTACACAACAACCTATAGGCAATTCATGGCTCCTGAGATATTATCCTCTCTCTCTCTCTCTCTCTCTCTCTCTCTCTCTCTCTCTCTCTCTTTCTCTCTCTGTGTGTGTGTATGAATGTATGTATGTAGTGTGTGTTTAGCATGTGGTCAGCCCTAAACATATGTACATACAAGTGGTCAGCTTTAAACATATGTACATACAAGCAACACTAAATTGTCTTAGTGGATTATGTGCATGTGTTTGTGGTGTGTGTGTTAAAAATAAGAAGGGGCCATAAATTTGGGAGGGAAGTGTGGCATAGAAAGAGCTATGAGGAGATAGGGAGGGGTGGAAATTATACAAATACCATACTCATATATGAAATTTCAAAAAATAAAGAATTTAAATAAAAAAGCAAACAATGCCAACAGCAGTTTTGGGGAGCAAGAATTAGCTAAACATTGACTATGAGAAGTTACATTAATAAGACAATCAAGATATAGGTGACACACACCTATAATCTCATCATGCGAAAGATTAGGCACAAAGGTCATGAACACAAGATCAGCCTAGAGAACATAACAAGAGCCCATCTCAAAACAAACACAAAACAAAGCATTAGTACTATGAGAATTCAGTAATCTCAAAAGAGTTGAACAAAATGTGCCACATTTTTTTTACCCATTCTTCGGCTGAGGGGCATCTAGATTGTTTCCAGGTTCTGGCTATTGCAAATAATGCTGTTATGAATATAGTTGAACAAATGTCTTTGTAGAATAATTGAGCATCTTTGGGGTATATGCCCAAGAGTGGTATTGTTGGATCCTGAGGTAGGTTGATTCCCAATTTTCTGAGAAACCATCATACTGATTTCCAAAGTGGTTGTACAAGTTTGCATTCCCACCAGCAATGGATGAGCGTTCCCCTTACTCCACATCCTCTCCAGCATAAGCTATTCTTGGGTTTTTGATCTTAGCCATTCTGGTAGGTGTAAGATGGTATCTTAGAATTGTTTTAATTTGCATTTCCCTGATGGCTAAGGATGTTGAACATTTCCTTAAGTGTCTTTCAACCATTTGAGATTCTTCTGTTGAGAATTCTCTGTTTAGTTCTTTACCCCATTTTTAATTGGATTATGTGGAATTTTGATGTCTAAGTTCTTGAGTCCTTTGTCTGATGTGGGGTTGGTGAAGACCTTTTCCCATTCAGTAGGCTGCCTTTTTGTCTTATTGACTGTGTCCTTTGCTTTACAGAAGCTTCTCAGCTTCAGGAGGTCCCACTCATTTATTGTTTCTCTCGGGGTCTGTGCTACTGGGGTTATATTTAGGAAGTGGTCTCCTGTGCCAATACATTAGTAAATAAAACACAATTACAGTAAATTAAAATTAGCAGTAAAACACAATGACATCTTGAAATTTGCATGCAAATGGATGGAACTATCCTGAGTGAGGTAACCCAGACCCCAAAAAGATGAACATGGTATGTACTCACTCATAAGTGGATACTAACTATAAACAAAGATATTGAGGCTATAGTTCATGATCCTAGAAAAGCTAAATAACAAGGTGAACCCTAAGAAAACATATATAAGGTCCACCTGAAAAGTCAAAATAAACAAGATCTCCTGACAAAATTGGGAATATAGGGGTGGAAGAAGAGAGGGTGAAAGGAGAAGAGGAGGGGAGAAGGGAAGGGGCGAGGAGAACTTGAAGGAATGGGATAATCAAGATGGAGAAGGACATAGATGAGAGCAAGGAAAGAGATATCTTGATTGAGGGAGCCATTATGGGGGCTAACAAGAAACCTAGCTCTAGAGAAGTTCCCAGGAATCCACAAAGATGACCCCAGATAAGACCCTAAGCAATAGAGGAGAGGGTACCCGAACTGGCCTTGCCCTGTAGTCAGACTGATGAATATCTTAAATATTACCATAGAAACTTCATCTAGCAACTGAGGGAAACAAAGGCAGAGACCCACATCAGAGCACTGGGCTGAGCTCCCAAAGTCCACTTGAAGAGTGGAAGGAATGAGAATAAGAGCAAAGAGGTCAAGACCATGATGGGTTCACCCACTGAAACAGTTTGCCTGAGCTAATGGGAGCTCACCAACAACAGCTGGACTGGGAAGGAACAAGCATAAGACCAAACTAGTCCCTCTGAATGTGGTTGACAGTTGCATGGCTGGGGCAGACTGAGGGGTCACTAGCAGTGGCACCAGGATTTATGTCTACTGCATGTGCTGACTTTTTGGGAGCCTATTCTCTTTGGATGGATACCTTGCTCAGCCTAGATATAGTAGGGAGGGCCTTGGACCTTCCCCAAAGCAATAAGCCTTACCCTCTCTGAGGAGTAGATGGGGGTGGGGAGGGAGGTCAGGGGAGTGTGGGGGCAGCAGGAGCTTGACACAGGTGGTCACACTGCAGCCACAGCAAAGAATGATGGGTGAATAATGCATGCCACCTTACACACATGCACAAACACACACACACACACACACACACCACACACCTCTGTCAAAGGCTTCAGGAAAATATGAAAGAAATTCTGCTCACTGGAGTTCCCATCCATTCAACCCCAGTCCTGTTGAAAGACACCCCAGACAGAAAACAAAAGTATGTAGTTTCTCCTCTGGAATGGAAAAAGCTGGGAATGCAAGAAAATAGGAGCAGCCAATGATCATGGAGCAGATGGCAGACAGTGCCGTGCATACACACGATTTGGGAACAGACTGTGCCCAGTCATTTTCTGTGGAATTACAGAGCAGAAAGGGCAGCAGATGGTCAATCCTTCCCACGCCACACCAGCAGGCATGAGCAGTATTTGTTATTGGTCCCAGTACCTGGGAGATGTGAGTTTGTAGTCTGGACCCAAAGAAGCATGGAATGTAAATCCAGTCAACATTTAGAGAAGTGCTCAAACACACTTCTGGCTAAATAGCTAGTTAGACATTAGTAGGCTTAAAGGTCACTGGGAATGGTTCCCACGTGATCGGCGGCCTGTAAAACATGGAACTGGAACAATGGAATTCCGGTGATGGTTAAAAGAATGGGAGGTTGACAGCAGTCTATGGAGGGAAAGACTGGAAGAGGGAATTAGTAAGGTCAGAGAAGAGCTTGAAGGGAGGCCTGGCTCCATTGACTACTTCAGAAACCAGGAGGACTGCTGAGAGACCGGGAGGACTGCTGAGAGACCAGGAGGACTGCTGAGAAACCAGGAGGATCAGTGAGAAACCGGGAGGACTGCTGAGAAACCGGGAGGACTGCTGAGAAACCAGGAGGACTGCTGAGAAACCGGGAGGACTGCTGAGAAACCGGGAGGACTGCTAAGAAACCGGGAGGACTGCTGAGAAAACAATGGCCAGGATAGAATGAAATTCACAAAGTATTGCAGTGGCTCACATCAAAGCCAGAGCTGGAAGCCTCATTCCCCAGCAGTCTCACCTAGGACAGCCAGAGGGGAAGCCAAAGGCAGATAGAAACCGCTCTGATCTCAGATAGCCCAGGATGGGATAGGCAGGCTCTGCAGGCTGCACTTATTTTAAATCCAGCGGCTGTCAACATGCTACATGCTAAAAATATGTCTGCATCTTACAGACCAGAAAATACTGGAGTTGTAGGGCGCATCCACCTCTGCCACCCACTTACGTGTCAATCCAAAGGTGAACGCTATAATTAGTCCTCGCCAAGGGATCTTGATTTGCTTCCGTCTTCCAAATGCAGGGATACAAAATCTGTTGAAGGGGAACTTGCTCTCTCTCTGAAAGAAATGTTTTAAAAACTTTGTCAGCTAATTATATCCTTTAGTTGGATAAATCTTGGTTGCTTTCCTTTTACAAACAGAAAGGTTTTCCTCTCTCTTCCTGAGGTACGGAAGAAGGTGGTCACCTTGTCCTGCATTTTCCATTTAGCTCTGAGGTCTCCAAATGGACTCTATGTCAAAAAGAGCTCCGGTTACCTTTCCCACCTTTTGCAAACCTTCAGCCCTTCACTGAGAGCGACACAGAACCACACTGCTATCTAACAGCGTGCTATCAATAACAGCACAACAGATCTGAGGTGATTCGGAAGAGCAGACACTTGCAGCTTGGTCCTTAGCTTGATCCTCAGGCTTTGCCTTCTGTAGCGAGACCTGCCCCATAGCCTCCCTTCTAATCCCCCCACTCCCTACCCCTAACCCCCACCTCGACTCCACCCATCTTCACTGGGAAGTTATCTGGCACCTGTCTTAGCACATTTTCAGCTACGTCGTCATCAGCAGTCAGCGGGCACTTTGGAATTTTGATGGCTTTAGTGTTTTATCCGCACACCCGTCCTAAACAGCAAGAAGGATCCAGTGCTGACACAGCTGAATGGGGAGCACTGCCGGGGAGGATTCTGAGGCTACAAGCTGGCATTGTGGGAGAGAACACTTTGGCCAATTAGCAAGCGCCTGACAACACTCAGGGCCATGCCGGGATTTGCGATCCTGTTCAAAAAAATCGCTATCTCAAAGCCAGCACAAGACCCTCTTGGTACAGACTCAGGGTACAGGGTCTGGAGGACCCTCCCGGGTCTGTGGTTGGCCCCTGTTAGTTCAGACAGCGCCTAGCGTTGCTTGCTCCTGTGGGGAAGCTCTGGATTGATGTCAGTCTCCCTCCAGTGCAGGAAGATGTCTGGGTCATTTTAATGAATACAGGACTCTGTCAAGGAAAAGCCCTGCATAAATCCCAGACTACAGTCCAGCTATTGTCTGGATTACCCCACTGAGGACGTGTATCTCTCAGGTCGTGGGATTTCGTTGATTGGATTTCAGTCTCTCTGAAATAGATGAATCAATAAGAATCCTTTATAGGCCTAGCCTATAACTGAAGAGTTTGGCATGCTCCGTTAACAGCACTGGGTCAGTCTCTGGCATGCTGAGAAAGCGCACAGGTCTGAGGAAATGGCTTTTATGTTCACGTGTGGAGTTGGTAGAGCCTCACTGAGTCATCATCGTTCACATGGTCCCCACCATCGCTCAGCACCAAAAAGACCCCGTGGGTGAGCATTAGCCTTCAGCAGCAGGTACAGAGGATGCTGGAGAGACTCCCCAGACAGGAAGCAGATAGCTAGATTAGCCTAAAACATAGGCATAAATAACGTGCTTATATAACACACATGTGTACCAGATAGTCCTTTGGCTGCTTCAGGAGTCAGGAAACTGAGCTAATGGGACAGCTACTGACTCAGGTTCCTGCATACTAGGCTTTGGATAAGCAACAGTTTAAAGACATTGAAATGTGACTTAAGCCTTAGCTTCAATAACACTAACCTCCCTCAAGTGAAAGGCCACCCATGGAAAAGCCTTCAGATAAAAGTCCCGAGTCAGCTGACCTACCTCAAACTTGATGACATGCAAGAGTGGCTCCTTTATCACCGTTCTGTCTGACCCCAAAGAGCTCGCTTGAGTTTCCCTGGCAACTAACCGTTCTAATTGCTTCAGCAATTCCATCTTTTCAATCTTGCTTTACATGAAATGTCGTGTGTCTCCCACAGTGTGTGTTTATACAATCAGTGTGGCTAACACTGTCAACCTGACAGGGATCTGGAATCTCCTAGAAGACAAGCCTTCAGGCACACCTGTCAGAGATTATCTGGATTAGATTAATGGAAATGAGAAAGACTCAGTTTCTAGGCTTGGGTCCCGGACTGCATAGAGAGGGCAAAGCTAGCTAAACAGAAGCATTCACCACGCTCTGTGGATGTAACGGGGCCAATCGCCTCAAGATCCTGCTGCTATGACTTTCCTACCAGAATTGGTTGACTCCCTCAAACTGAAAGCCAGAAGAAGCCCTTCTTTCCTTAAATTGTTTCTGTCTGCTATTCTATCACAGATGCCAACAAGAAAAGTGATGAATACAGTTGGCAAGTACTGAGTATGTTTTGGGCAGTGTGGAAAGTTTTGAATATAGGGCTTGCCTGTTGGGCATAGGACAGTGTGGAAGTTGGGGAGTTGTGGATTGGCTCTGCTTTGAGGATAATCTCTCTGATTCCTGGTCTACTGACACATTAATGAGGAGCTGTCCCATGTTTCCTCCATCATACAGCTACACCTTCCCCCATCATGATGGATTGTACCCCTTAACATTGTGAGGCCACACGCATTGGTCACAGGGACATCGAATTAACTGGTAAACAAAGTTTCGTATTTGGTTTCTTTTTGTTACATTGATTGATATATAATCCAACTCAGGAAGAGCCAAATGGAAGAGAAGTTTGGGGAAAAGTGGAGGCAGTATATCCCAGAACCCCTTGACCTCTGGAAACCCTTCCAGTCGCTCAGTGTGCTTACCAACCTGGAAGTCCCTGACTGGAAAGCGATATTTCCTTGTGACGTTCCAAAGCCTTGTTCATCTGCTCCAATCTCTTTCATTTAAGCTCACTGTTTCTCAGAATCTCAAAAATATCCCCACGACTTGTCTTAGTCACTCTTCAATTGCTGTGAAGAGACCAAGGCAACTCTTGTGAAAGAAAACATTTAATCGGGGGCTGGGTTACAGTTTCTTTCAGAGGCTGAGTCCTTTATCATCATGGCAGGGAGCTTGGCAGCAGGCAGGCAGACACTTGACAGCAGCTGAGAGCTACAATCTGATCTGGAGGCAGAGAGAGCAAGCGTGGGCCTAGTGTGGGCTTCTAAAACCTCAAAACCCACCCCCAGTGACACACCTCCTCGCACAGGGCCACACCTCCTGATCCTTATGATCCTTTCAAATATTGCCACACCCTGGTAGCTAAGCATTCAAATATACGAGTTTATGAGGAACATTCTTATTCAAACCACCACAAGAAGCAATAACTGTGTTTTAAAAGTGTTCAATATCCCTAGCCATCAGGGAAATACAAATTAAAACTACTTTGAGATACCGCCTCACCCCAGTCAGAATGGCTATCATCAAGTCTGACAGCAAATGCTGGAGAGGATGTGGAGGAAAAGGAACCGCTATCCACTGCTGGCAGAAGTGCAAATTAATACAGTCAAAGTGGAAATCTTTTTGGAGATCTCTCAAAAATATAAAAATAGAGCTACCATATTGTGGAGGTCGAAAAATACAGGCCCATTTCCACCTTGTCTGCCGGTCAGAGAGTTTGGAGACTGACAGGCATAATTGCACCTCCTAACTCAGGAGGTGGTTGCCTGACTCTCTAGAAATTAAGATAGCTCAAAGCCATCCTGATAGGTGGTCAGGATATGTAAATGTACTTCTGCTCCTTCTATAGTCACTATGAGGTCACCTAGGGAAGGATGGTCTTCAGAGCCCATGACTTAGAGCACCTTAACTACCTAGATGATATCCATATTCCATTAGAGTCCACAAGTGTGAACCCTGAAACTATTCATCCTGTGAGAATAAAGGAGGAACATGGCCTCATAATCACCCACTCACACCAGACTCTGAAGTGCTATTGGACTGATTTATACAAAGCCTAAGGCTTGTTGTAAAGAGCTAGATATTTTTCCTAAACTTCCAAGTCTAAGAAAACACAGGTCCTTGTAGATCGCCTCAGCGGGTTACTCATTCTAGGGGTGTAACCCGCCTGGCTGATCAGTTATTCCAGGGTCACGGAGAGGTACTATCTGTAAGATAATGGGCGAGAGAGAGGAAGGAGGCCATGCTAGGTTTGTCAGAGCTTCTGTTTATTAGAGACAGGGTTACAGTTTATATAGGATAAGGAGTTTGGCTTGGGATGGGGGCAGGGGCATGTAATCTTGCCGCGTGGTCCACGGTCACGTAGGCCAGGAGGTTACGTTCCATCAGGTCACGTAGGCCAGGAAGTCACAAGTTGACACACCTCGTTCTCTAGATAGTTTGGAATGTGGGGCGGGTTCCGCTAACAGATAGCTCTCTATTAACAGCTAATTGGGTGTGGGGTAGGCTCTGTCAATAGAACAGTTTCTCAATACAATTGGGGGTGTGGGGTTCTCTGCAGGCTCCTCAGGGTGATGGTTCCTGTAATAATTTTGGGGAAAACGGCTCCTGACAGGTCGTCCAAAAGTCAAAATTCTACCTTCATTTAAAATGTTGATGAGTCCTGTAACAGTAAGCTGAATCCTAACAAGGTGAGTTGTTCTTTGACTAAAGGGAGAAACCGCAGTCTCGGGGAACAAGCAGAGCTGGTAGCTGTGTTGCCCTCACTTCCTGTACAGCTTCTCCATCTAAGCCCCCTGCAGTGACCCGTCAGACAAAGTTTGCTTGATGTACACGTGATTGTTCCCAAATCCTCATGAAGTTGCTTAGACCTATTGTCCTGCCAATCATCCGGCTACAAGGATTTTATGGATGTCCACTGTCTCCGGCCACTTCCCTGAGTCCCACAGAGAACTTATTGTCCTCAAGAGCGTCCTCGGTGATTGGAGAAACAAACGAGAGAACAAATAAAACCACTCTGACAAGCGGGGAAAACAAATTATGTCAGAGCCTGGTAAAAACTAGGAAGAGAAAAAAAAAAAAAAAAAAAAAAAAAAAAAAAAAAAAAAAAAAAAAAAAAAAAAAAAAACAATGAAACTCTTCCTAGGGCAGGAGCGAGGATGAGAAGCTAGTGAGCATGAGGCCACGATCACTCACGTCTCCCTGGAGACGTCCCAACTCATCTGTTCTTGGAAGCTAAGCAGAGTCAGGCCCAGCGAACGCCTGAACAGGAGGGGAGAGCACAGGACTTTCTGAGTAACCTAGAAAACAAGAAAACAACCTATTGTGAATCTATCTTCTCCCTGGGGATGGAACTGTTTTCACCTCCTTTGTAGGTCAAATTGGTCACATGACCTGCCCTTTCCGTAGAGCGTTAGCATCGTGGTGCAGACTTCGCAAGTGTTCCCATTCGGGGACTCCCTCTCATGCTGTCTGTCCCCAGGATCCTGTGAAGCCAGTACGGAGAGATGCCTGGCCTAGTCTGCTGGGTCCCAACAGACACTTTGCCAGCTTCCTCTACATCCTGACTAACAACCCAACCATCATCAGGCTCACCAACTGATGCATGTGTGAGCCAGCGCAGACCGCGGGGGCCCAAATGACACCCCATCAAGCCACAGGACCTTGAGCTAAAGATGTCATGACTATTGGTGTTAGTCAAGTCATTATGTGAT